GTGTGCTGCGCAACGCCGGTTGTCACCCCAAAATGACTTGGAAACGAGCACACAGGCTGGGAAAATGGATCCCACCAAAACAGGATGGCCTCTCTAGCAGTCGACCGCTGCTCGTGGAACTCCACGGTGCAAAAGAACGAAACTTTCTCCTATCTAAGGCGTCAGTCATCGCTAGTGATCCGTCAATCAACGATGCATTTCATGGCTAGCTCAACAAACATTCAATCAGCAGCCTGCATTCTGCACGTGAATCCCCCTGTCGTGGCCGTCGGGATCTATCGCAGCCCAAGCTCGTCACACCAAGATGAGGAACTTAGTCAGGCCTTGCGTGGAGCTGCTAAATCAGGATATCGGCTCTTGAATCTAGGTGATTTCAACGCGCCCACTGTCAACTGGACACACCAGTCATGTCGCGGAACTGGGTTTGATATGGCCCTGCTCAACACCGTATCCGGTCTAACCCTGCCGCAGCATGTGGTGGTACCTACCAGGATAAGCCCTCGATCTCGTTCTAACGAGGAACAGCAATGACGTCGCGGGAATAAGGACCGAAGTTCCTTTAGGCAAAAGCGACCACTCACCGGTGTTCTTCAAATTCCACCGAGTAGAAACCCCGAAGCCCAAAACTGGAACTCGAAGGTTCCACAACATCAACATTGATGACTTGGTCAGCGGAGCGGAGGGACTGTGCTGGAACAATGTGAACTCTATAGAGGACACCTGGAACCGAATGAGGAACTACATTGTACTCTTCACGGAAGTCTACGTTCCTGTGAAAACAACAGGGATAAGGGGCACATACCTTGGTTCCGACCTAGAGTCCGCCGAGCGTTTGAGAGGAAACGTAAGGCATGGATGGCGTTCAACAGGTAGAGAAGCCCCCTGCTCTTTGCTCGCTTTAAACTTTTCTGCAATAAAGCTATCAAAGTAGCACGGGGGGCTAGACTCAAGTATGAGCTAACCATAGCCAACGAGGCCTCAAATACCACAAAAGATACTTCAGCTACGCTCGAGCCCGGTCCTCATCGAGAAAAGTGATCGGCAATGCCCTTCATATAATTGGACAACTCTTGACCACCGACAAGGATATTGGGGGCTCGGTCCTCGCCTGGATAGCCTGAGCAACTACCCTACCTTCGATCGAGTGAGCGACATGCCAGATCTGGTGATATCTACACCGGACGTGGAAAGAGTTTTTAAGATTCTCAAAATCTCCAAATCCGCGGGTCCAGATAATTTCCACCCAGCAGTCATTAAACCGATAAATCCTTAATTATCCCCAATTAGTCACAATGTTCAACGATCCTCTGAATACGGACCGGATTCCGGAGGATTGGGAACATGCCACAGTTGTCCCAATCTTTAAACAGGGTAACCGATCGGATCCGTCCAACTTACGTCCGATCAGTCTCACCAGCATCGTTGCTAGGCTCCTGGAGCGTATTCTGCGAGACTACATAAGCGCGCACCTTCTTCAAATCGGTTTCTTTTGCAACGCTCAACACGGATTCATCAAAGGTAGATCCTGTCTAACAAATCTGTTATGTTTCCTAGACGTAGTAACACAGAAATTAGATGAGGGAACGGAAGTCGAAGTGTTCTACCTGGACTTCCAGAAAGCATTCGACTCAATTAACCGCATGTTGTTAGATTTTAATCTCCGAGTAACTGGGCTTAATTCGAAAGTCTGCAACTGGATTGGAGCGTTCTTGTCCGGCCTGACCTACGGGGTTCGTGTGCGGGGATGTCTGTCGGAGGTGGGTTCCCCCACGAGCGGGGTCCCACAAGGATGCACCCTAGCTCCCCTTCTCTTTCTAGTATATGTCAACGACATAACGTCAGGTTTGGAGAACCCCTCCTTTTTGTACATAGATGACATCAAATTAGTTGGAAACCCGGACGACAGATACTCCTTGCAGAGTGATATCTTGAAGATATGTGAGTGGTCGCAAAAATGGGAACTCCCACTCAACGCATTGAAGAGTTATCTGCTAGCCAAAATAACGTATCCCGTCCCTCGTCCGATCCTCACTACGGCCGGAGCATACGCAACACTAGCTTACAAATCAGAAGCAATGGACCTCGGGATAAGAGTCTCCAACACCTTTTTCCCGTCCTCTACCGCTGTAGCAGCAGCCTTAAAAACCAGACGAGCTCTGTTTAGACTCCGAACGGCAATCACCAACCGTTGTCCTAGTGTATTCATGCCCCTGTACACAGCCATCGTAAGGCCTCACCTCGAGTACTGTGTTCAGGCTTGG